AGTGAGGATAGATTAGGGTGTTCTCAGATCTTTTCTCAGCATGTGTCCTGTCCTGGATATTCACATGGCTTTCTAAACTCCCTCTACATAAAGGGGCACCTTTGAATTCCCTAGTTTCCCACAGAAACTCACCTTTTCAGGCTGTAGGTGGTCTACTGTATGTCTTAACCATAATATTTTGCCTAGTTGACTAGGTTTCTTGATTGCCTTACAATATTTTTGAGTAATGCCTACTGGTTTTCCATGCTGAGTGGGTTCTGAATTGGGCGAAACAAAGACAAATGTCTTTCATCAGTCCTTCAGGTAGCCCAGACAGGTTAGAATAGGCAAACAGTGATTTCGCCATAAGGTCTGCTCTGCTTCACTCTCTTCTGAACCAGAGGCCATGTTCCTGCACTGTGAACACTGTTGCTGTCTTCAGGACTGCTGCTGAGCCATGGAGGGAGTGGTGCAGGGGAAGTAAAAATGCTATAAACCCTTTCTATTATTTTAAATTGCTTTTTTCTTGATTCAGCATTCACTTGGTTACTATAAACCTTTGACTATTTTCCAGAATTCTTGCAAAGTTTATTCTTACAGTTTCTGATTTTAATTTTTTGTTTTTGTTTTTTTTTGGTGTTTCCATGTAGGGATGGGGGATTGGAGCTGCCTACTCCACAATTTTCTAGACATTACTATTTTTTTGTATGTCTGAGTAAAATTAATTATCTAAGATCGTAAAGCAGGCACAGAGACAGAGTGAGTTATTCATTATCACACATTGAACACCCATCCGATTGCTTGGGTGTAAAAAGGGAAGTCATTTTTTACAATTGTTTTTGAAAAACTGATTTGTTCCTTTTGAATACATAATGTCACTATATAAATGGCGTTTCAGGTTGACTAGTAAATTATAGCTCTGTTTGAAGCTGTTTTAAAACATTATTTTGAAATTATATATTATTTATTTTAGTACATGTTAAAAATTGATGGTATGTACATCTTTTAAATATTTTTATGGTCACTTTTTCTTGGAATGAAGCTTAGATGTTTCATGAAGAAACTTCTACAATTTTTGAACCAGAAACTCCCAATTATGAAGAACCTCGACTCCTGCTTTTATGAGTGGCTGTTCCTCAGTCCACAGCACTGCTCTGTTGCGTCCAATTCTTCTTTTAGAAAATGAATTTGTTTGAAGGCCATTTTGTAAGTAACTTAATTAACAAAAAACATTTCCACATCTACATGTTCTTCTATTGTGTGGAGAGAAGGGAACACTCTAACATGTTGGACTGTAAATTAGAACAACCACTATGGAAAACAGGATGGAGTTTTCTCAAACAACTACAGATAGATCTTCCATAGAACCCAGAAGTCTTCTACACTGTTGTGGGACTGTAAATAAGTACAGCCACTATGGAAAGCAGTATAGAAGTTTATCAAACAATTACAGATAAATCTACCACAGGATCCAGTAATCCCACGTCTGAGTATCTACACAGAGAAAGGAAGGGATACCTGCATTCCCATGTTCATCGCAGCTCTGTTCACACACAGAGGGATAAATACCACATGTGCTCACTCATATGTTGGAGCTAAGAGAGAAAGAAGGAAGGAAAGAAAGACCACAGTAGTGCATTGGACTTGCAGAGGGAGAGAACATTCCTTGGACTCTGAAGTGGAGTGGAGGGAAGAGGGGAGGGAGAGGGAGGTTGGGGATAATTGGGTGGGGGACACGGGATACAAATGCAATTGGTGGTAATGGGTATACAGCCAGTATGAATCTGGCCCCCACATCATGGGCATGAGGGGTGACAATCAGCTTTGTATCTCATGAATATTCTGAACCAATAAAAAAATTAAGGGATGTGGCAGAATCAAATGTCTTATCACCAGTAACATGACTGTTAGGTATGAAATAAAAAAAAAATTAAAGAGGACCCAAGAAGATGAAAGAACATTCTGCATTCATGGATGAAAAGAACTAAGGTTGTGAAAATGTTCATTCTATCCAATGTGATCTACAGATTCAATTCAAGGCAATCCTGAACAAAACATAAAATCAAATAGAATAAAGGTGGAAGCATTACAGTACCTGACTTCAAATTATACCACGAAGCTATAATAACCAAAATAGCATGGTACTGGCATAAAAACTGACACATGGACCAAGAAAATAATAGAGAACATAGAAATCAATCCATGTACTTATAACCAACTGATCTTTGACAAAGGCCTCAGGAACATACATTAGGAAAAGGGCAATCTCTTTAATAAGTGGAGCTGGGGAAACTGGATATCCATATATAGAAGAATGAAACTAGAGCTTTAACTCTCAACATATACCCAAATCAACTCAAAATGGACTAAAGACATAAGTATAAGTCCTGAAACTATAAAACTCCCGGGCGAAACACTTCAGGAAGTAGGAGTAGGCAGAGACATCATGAGCAATACTCAAAAAGCATAAGGAACAAAAGAAAAAGTAAACAAATGGGATTGTATCAAACTAAAAACTTCTGCACAGCAAAGGAAACAATCAACAGAGTGAAAAGGCAACCTACAGAATGGGAGGAAATATTTGTAAACTATTCATCTGATAAGGGGTTAATATCCAGAATATAAAAGGCTGTCAAACAACAGTTAAAAAAAAAAAAAAAGGTACCCAATAAAAAATGGGTGAAGGAGCTGCATAGGTGTTTCCTTTAGGAAGATGTACAAATGGCCAACAGACAAATGAAAAAATGCTCAACATCATTCAGCATCAGGGAAATGCAAATCAAAACCACATGGAGATATCATCTCACCCTAGTTAGAATGGCTACTATCAAAAAGACAGAATAACAAGTGCTGACAAGGATGTGAAGAAAAGGGAATACTTACACACTTTGGTAGGACTGTATATTAGTATAGCCATTATGGAAAACAGTGTGGAGGTTTCTCAAACAATTACAAACAATAGAATTATCAGATGATCCAGCAATCCTACTACCGGTCATATACCTAAAGGAATGGAAATCATCATGTTGAAGGGGGATACCTGCACTCCTGTGTTTATCACAGCTCTATTTACTGTGTTTATTTCACAGGTCATAGCCAAGATATGGAAGCAATCTAAATGTCCATTGATGGACAACTTGAAAAGGAAAATGTAGTACCTATTCACAATGGAATGCTATTCAGCCATAAAAAGGAATGAAATTCTGCCATTGGCAGCAGTTTGGATGAGCTTGGAGAAAATTATGTTAAGAGACATAAGCCTGGCACAGAAAGAGAAGTACCATGTGTCTTCACTCATAAGTGGGAGGTAAAAGCAAATAACTAAAAAAGAAAGGAAGAAAGGAAGGAAGGAAGGAAGGAGAGAAAGAAAGAAAGAAAGAAGGAAGGAAGGAAGGAAGAAGGAAGGAAGGAAGGAAGGAAGGAAGGAAGGAAGGAAAGAAGGAAGGAAGGAAGGAAGGAAGAAAGAAAGAAAGAGATAGAAAGAAAGAAAGAAAGAAAGAAAGAAAGAAAGAAAGAAAGAAAGAAAGAAAGAAAGACTGAAATAATAGGTTGAACTTCCAGAATGAGTGACAAGAACTGTGGTTGCTAGAGTTGAGAAAGGGGGGAGTTAGTGAGAAATTGGTCAATAGACACCAAGCATGATTATGGTTTGTAATGACAAATCTGCTAATTGTCCTGATTTGATCCTTACCCATCGTACTAAGGTGTTGATATTCAACTCTGTACCCCACCCTAAGATTGATCAATTGTTTCAATAAACAAGTAAAACAAAAACCAATAATTATAAGTGGGATGCTATTTACCCAAGTTTGAAAAAATAGTTCATAAAGTCCAGGTAAGTTTGAAATGCACCGAGAACTTTGCAAACGTGAGCGTTGTTGAAAGTTATAATCGCTGTGATTGCAGCCATTGTGATAGACTAATGACTGCTATGATCAGCATTAGAATTCAGCCATCATGACTCAGGCTAAGTTGCCTTGATTGTACCATTACAGTGCCTCTGGGTGGTAGTCTATGTCTGGGTTTTGGGGACCACTAATTTACTCTTCATTAAAGTAGGGATGGTGGTGAATTCTGCTGAGCCCTTTCTCTTGACTACTTCCAGTTATAGTCAATAGCACATGCTTAAAATGATGTGGCCGATATTTGGCAAATCCCACTATTAAAGAACACTTCTCCGTTTTCTTCTCTCCTCTTTTTTCTCTCTTTCCTTCATTAAATTAACAACTCAAACTGAGCTCTGAGGCTACTAGAGGAATATAGTCTTACCCGAGTATGTATACTTTGAGAAATGATGTCTGTTTCTAACCTCATGTGCTAAGTCAGTAAAACTTAATCAGTAGCATGTGGAGAACACTGACCAGGCAGGATGGCAACAGTGAGCAGGAGGGACAAAGGGCATTATCCTGTGGAGACTCTAGTAGATTGAATCAGAAGCTTTCATCAAACTTTGAGAACCTTGAACTTAGTGTATTCATGATGTTCAAACCGTCACATGAAAACACAATATTTAGTCCATAGAACACTCTTTGTTTGGTCTGCATAATATGAAACTATGGGGTCAACACTTTTTTTTGACATATTTTATTTGATGAGATTGTTTTGACCAGTTTTACTCAGGAAATGTCTCCAACTCAGAATCTACTAGAGATGACTATTTCAGTAGAAACTTCTTCTCCCTTGTAGATACAAAATCCCTACAGTTATGACCAACAAATCTGAGAATAGAATCAGGGAACATTTTAGATCTGGAAATGGCCTTCAAGGCCAAGATTAATTCTTTAATTGGCACAGAGAAGTTAAATAAATTTTCTTATTCTCACACAGCTGGCAGACATCCGTGGCACAGTCATGCCCAGATATTCATATTCATTGATCAATTCTGCTAAGTTGTGAGTTAAAGCCAAGGGGATATCTTAGGGAATAAATATTTACCTCTTAGGGGCTATAAGTAAAGAGACATGGCTCATCATCTATCTTGTGCATCCATAGTTTCTGTAGCTGTGGGAGGTTACCTGTTTCTACCTCAAAGTGAATCCTCTGTTAATTACTTTTCTCAGAGCTGCCAGTACTTCTTTGTTCCTCAGACTGTAAATGAGAGGGTTGAGCATGGGCGTGAAGATGGTATTAATCATGGAGAATATTTCATCCTGCTCTGAAGTGTGAAAGGAGCGAGGGGTCATGTAGATAATAAAGGCCGGCCCATAGTAGAGGCTCACTACAGCCAGATGGGAGGAACAGGTGGCCAGGGCTTTCCTCCTGCTCTCTCGTGAATTCAGGCGGAGTATTGTGAGAAAGATGAACATGTAGGAAGACACGATAAGTCCTAAGGGAAGAAGAACAAATACAATGCAGATGACGGACACCACCATCTCATAAGAGGAAGTGTCCGCACAAGAGAGCCTCAGGACAGCAGGCATCTCACAGAAGAAGTGGTGGATTTCCCTGGAGCCACAGAAGGGGAAATGCATGGTGTAAATGGTATTGATGAGGGAATTTAGAACACCTCCACCCAAGGACACTAGAGTCATCTGCAGGCAGACTCTGGGGTTCATGATAACTGGATATCTCAGGGGGTTGCAGATGGCCATATAGCGGTCATAAGACATGAGGGTCAAAAGGAGACACTCACCACCCCCAAGGGCAAAGAAGAAGAAAATCTGGGTTCCACAGGCAACTTTTGAGATGTCTCTCTTCCCAGAGAAAAAGTTGATGGCCATTTTTGGGACCGTGGTGGAAATTAAGGCCAAGTCAATAAGAGAGAGATGGCTGAGTAGTATGTACATGGGAGTGTGAAGGTGAGAGTCCACCCAGATCAAGAGAATCAGGATGGTGTTCCCAGTGAAGGCAACAACGTAGGCAAGAAGGATGGAGGTGATGAGGATGCTGGTATATTGCAGCTCTGGGAAAAGTCCCAAGAGAAGGAAGTAGTTCAAGGTTTTATTCTCTCTATCCATGTTCTGTTCTCCCAGACTTGAGCTAGAGGGTGTGGAGAAAACAGTTAAAACTGTGTGGTGCTTATGAGGTTTTTATTTTTCTCATAACTATCAAAAACACTTTCTTTGAATATCACTATCAATGAAAAGAAAAACAAAAAGAAAAAAGAAATTTTTTTAACAGCTGAGATGAGAGTTTTTATTAGAGAAGAAACTCTCTTTTTGGAGAAATACCTTTGGATATAAAAGGTGAGTTATGAGGCTGAAGGCTGGGATATCTAAAAGCTTCGCATGCAACATTAACCTTGATTTAGGGATGGTGCAAACATAAACATACCAGAGGAGAGAAGTCAAAAAGAACTGAATGGATTCTTTAGAGAATACTGACTAGTGAGAAATTCCCAGGACCAGGGTGCCCAAATGTCTTTTAAGAGCAGTGATGCCTATTATTCAGGTTAATATTGTGTGTGGGTGCTGTTTATACATAAATACCTTTCATTATCCTTGAACTTGGAAGAGTCTGCCACGCATATAGCCTTCTGTTGGGTGCACCTGTGGAGTGAGAGAGCAGGGCAGGGGCAATATCTGTCATGGTCTGCTGTGATACAGAAAAGGAATTGCACGCACGGATTGACAACATGAATCATACAGGGAATGATGTCAGCAGAAGCCACAATTAGGAGCTGGAGATATTCAGTCCCCTCCTAAAGCCTTATCTTCCAAGGAGCCCACAGAAAGTTTGAAGAAATGCTGAGGCTTACTTACGCATGTGGCATACATTTGTGTCAGTTTTATTCAAATTTGGAAGGTCATGGTAACCCCAGCTGACATCTCCCATATACAGGAGAATAGCACGTCAGTTCAATTATATTAGGAGGGGTGAAAATTTTTCTCTGAGAGGAACAGGAAGTGTTTGAGTCGTTGACCCATCTGTAATCACATAACTTCAGAGATACTTTCTTCATACTAAGGATCAATACCACTCAATGATAATTGCCTCAAATACAGTACTTTTTCACCTATTCTAAATCAAATTTAATAATAAAAGCTGAACAAATTTTCTAGTCACAGGTACTGTTTGCAATCCAACATGCCAGTGGCTCAGTGACCAAGTTTGCATGCTAATATGCTGATAGATAAAATCTATATCTTATCTCAGATGTTTTGACCAGCACATCTTAAAACATAATTTGACCACTTGGGAAGATTCCTGCATTCTTCCATTTGTTTCATCTTCTGCCACACCCCTATTAACTCACACTTGTCTGCATCACTATTTTTTGTTTGTTTATTTTAATGTGCTTGATGAAGATGTATGAGTTTACAACTCATGATTTGGAGAGTTTTAAAATACCCAGATGAATGAGTAAAACATGTAGTTGATAAATATGGATAAATTTGACCCACATAGAAGCCATCACTTGAATCACGATGATGACCATTTGAATGAACGTCAATGTGTTCTCCATGAACCAGGTTGTGATTATAGAGCCTCCTAGAGCTAATCTGAGATAAATGTCATCCCTAGCTTTTGGCTTCCTTTTCCAAACATTTTGTGCTCCTTATCTCCTCTATCCCACGCCCACAGGACACCCTCCTAGCCCCAGCAGCTGTCCTGGGTGCCCCCATACTCTTTCACACTGCTTCTCCCCAGCAGAGCCTCACGCTTGCGTTACTCCTTTGGGCTTCAGGGCTTGGATGACCCTTTACAGAGGGAGCTGGTGAGGTAATTCCCTTGAACCTCACTCCCATTTTTAAAGTACACCAGGCGCTGATGTGGAAAGGGCCTTTAGAAGTCCTCTACAGAGGATTATTTTGAGTAGATTTTATTTTTAGAGCATTTTCAAGATCACAGAAAAATTGAGAGGAAAATACAGAGATTTCCATACAACCCCTGTTCTCATACACACGTAATCTCCCCCATTAACAATATCCCCCACCAGAGTGGTACAACTGAACGTACATTAACTCATCATTATTACCCAAAGACCACAGTTTACATTAGGGTTAACACTTCATAGAATTTTTTCCCTTTAAGATTAAAAAATCAAGCAAACTAGTTTTGGTCTTAAATGCTGACCGGTGTTGAAATGACATTATTAGGTAGGTGGGCAGCACAAAGTGACTGAATCAGGTATTGGCACTCGTCATTGACAAAGCCTCCAGCTGGCCCCTCACAGAATCTTGCAGCACCTAGATTCTAGGCACTTACTGCCATTTGTGCACATGTCTGTGCTCCCACCCCCAGCCTGAGAGAAACTTGACTGTCTTATTCATGTTTCCTATCTCAGTGCTAAGACATAGTGCCTGGCACAACAGACTACTCAACACCGTGAAAGGAAAAAAGAAAGAGATGAGGGGAGAAGGAGTAAGGGAAGGAACATGGAAACACATTAGGATTAGTTTCTCCTTGATATTCCGTTGATATTTTCTTAGGCACTCACCTGTGTAAGTGACAATCATGGAATTACCCTCTTGAGTCTGGTTAAAAGTCGAGGGCCATCTATGGAAAAAATTATCCTTAATTTTCTCAGAGGTTGATCTTAAACTTGGTTGGGTCAGGTTATGAACCAGGATTGATACATGACCAGGGACTTTTATCTAATTCTCCCTGGAGGCTGATTTTAATTAGATTTGCATGGTATAGGTTCAGTCCTGCCTGGTTCTTGTCTTGAACCAGGTGATGCCAGAATTAAATTCTTTTTCACCAAATCTTGAAGAACAATTTAAAAAATTATTACTTAAGAAATATTAAATAAATGTAATCATAAAATTTCAAATAAATTTCTGGAGAGGTACAAATGCCAATCTACCATAAGATAATAATAGTTGAAAAGGTAATAATTACTTTTTAAGTGGTAAGACAAGGTCACTGTCTAAGTACTTTGAACTTACTAGTTACTGTGCTAGGTTTATTTTGCAGATGAGAGTCCCCAGCAGAGAGGTCACCTCAGTTGCCCAAGTTCACATGGGTAACAAGTATGGAGCATGTATTTGAACCAGACAGTCTGACCCAGAGTCCATATGTCATGTCTTACTTATGGATGACCACCATAACCATCTTGTCACCCTCCCCATCCAGACTTCTCCCCTGCCATGTACATTATTCCTTCAGCCCCTACCACCCTGCAGACACCCATCCCACAATCCTGCTCCCAGGTCTCACCTTGACTGAGAACCAAATCAGAAATGTAGCATCTAGGACCATGTTGAAGGACGGAAGGTGGAGCAAAAGGGGAATGACATTGCTTGGTGGCCTCTGCTCCCTGTTGGCCCCGATGTCTTTTTCTTGGTCCAGTTCCTACCTGCAGGTGAGACTTCCAGCCCCAACTCTTCTCTGCACTGCCACCATGTAGAACAAAAGTTCCTGCTCAGATTAGAAATCTGGGATCTCCTAACTGCAGATTTCAGGGCCTATGGAAATGTAATTCTCATAAACTGCTGAAGGGTAAAAATTACACAGCTTGAGAGAATTGACCTGGAAGTGAGCTTTATATGCCATGCAAGAACCAGATTATTGGTCCAAACAAAATGACAAGTTTCTAAAGTTGCTCATGCCCAGTCAGTATTGATCTCAAAACATGTGACCTCCCTTAAGGGAATCAGGCTCATTCTTTATGGGAAATGCACCCATACAATTGATTTGATATTCATGGATGAAAACACAGTCTGATTAATGAATACCACATTGCAATGGGGCTGTGTCCCTCCAGGAGATAAGGAATAAATATGAGATTGTGCTTCAAGTAGGGAAACTGCCTGATGAAATCAATACCTGCTGTTATAATAGCACTTCTGGGACCTCCCATGGCCTTCATCTATTGGGAATTATTCCCGCAGACATTAATTAACTATGTTCTCTGACAGCTGCTTGATTTTTTGCAGATTCCAGGGTAATTGCCTAATAAGTGGAAGGAACTTTAGAGAACAGTGAGCAAATGCCTTAGTGCTATATCCAAGACAACAGAGGTCAGGAATGCTCAGTGGCAATGCCAGTTAGGGGCTCTCAGTGTTTCTAAGCTTAGTGATCCCAGTGTAGCCTATGACGGCCCCTGTAAACATACGTGGAGGTCTTCAAAAGGTTATGAAAAGATTCATATTATCTTTTAATTTCATTTTTCCACAATTTTCTTGAAGTACCTTTGTAGATCTAGGTTTTCTTTACTCTCTTATCTTTGGCATATAGGGAGCCCAACAGGGGACCAACCTACCCAACAGGACCCCTAGAATCCCCACCCCACTAAGGCCTTCCCAGAATATAGATGAGGGCCTAGAATGTGCACAGATGAAATGGGAGGGCAGGTTCATGTTTTCAAACCTGGGGAAATTTTGCTTGTTGAGTGAAGATTTGCTTTGCAGACACTGTTCAAGGCTTCTGAGGGTTGGCAGGTCAGCAGGAATGAGATGTTGTGACAGCAAGTTACTCTGCATCATGATTATGGACATGAATGAAGAAAGAGTTTATCAGTTGATAGGACTGAGACAGCTCACCTTGGTCTGGGGCTGGTATGGCCAGTGTAAGGTTGATGTCCTTCCAGACCAGAGTAGCTCCGTTACGCCTATGGGACCACAGAGTCAACACTAGAGTATGCCACAACCATCTCAGGCAGCTCTTGGGAAGAATATTACAGTACTGTGGACTACTGATGTGCTACTTGTGACTCTTATTTTAATTAATAGCTCTAGGTCCCTTGGCATAGCTGGGAAAATCACACCTGTTCCAGAAGGTAGACTTGGGTAAAGCAAGCATGATGACAGTTTATTATTGAGTATTTCAAGGACTGAGACTAGGACATTGATGACACGGTTTTATGTGTTAGTTGGGGTTAAATGTGCTAGGTACATGTTTTTCAGCATTTTTGGGAAAAGAAAGATACTGCAGAGCTAAGGTCCTTCCCCTACCTCTTATATCTTTAACTAGAAATAAGTGATTGCTGACCCAACTGCATGTGTCCGAGCATCTATCTTCTGAGCAATTTTCCCGTGGAGTTCCTGTGCTCTAAATTTGGCCTGGCAAGTAG